ACTATAGTAGTTAGTTACTTTCGTTTGGTTCGGTTCGGTTTGGTTACGTTACGGTTTCGGGTTTGGTCGTGTAGTTACGTACTCTAACTACTACTACTCTCTCTCTCTCTCTCTCTCTCTCTCTCTCTCTCTCTCTCTCTGTGTATGAGGACCGGGACTTTTCCGGCATTAAGTAGGAATGACGCTGTGCGTGCAAGTGATACCGCCGTGTGTGCAAGGGATGTTGCCATGCGAGCAAGTGATACCATCGTGTGTGCAAGGGATGCCGTCGTGCGTGCAAATGATACCGCCGTGTGTGCAAGGGATGTCGTCGTGCGTGCAAGTGATACCGCCGTGTGTGTGCAAGGGATGCCGCCATACTTGTAAGCCACCGTGCGTGACAAGGAAGCCGTCGTGCGTGATGAGGATACCGCCGTGTGCGACTTTGCCGTGCGTGTTGCTACCAAGAGTGAATGTATAGGGCTGTCCAGGGAACTTCTATGAGTGCCATGTGGCACATGTACGCCACTTGTATGCCACTATAAGCCACCTAGATGCTACTGGATGCCACTTGAAGCCCCTTGTATGCCACCTGCTTGATGCCTCCCCCTCTTTGATTATATAACCCCCCCTTCACACCCCTCTCAAGAGTTTTGTTCTCTCTCTCTCACAACCTCCTTTCAAATAGTTAGAACCTTAGGCTTGGCCGTCCTTGGAAGCTTGGCATTTGTGGGGAACTTGTGTCGCGAACTTGGAGTTCTTTTGGATACAAGTAAGTCGATCTAGCATCCATAATTTTGTTTGATTGCTTAGTATGAAATCTAAGTATACATGTGAATGTAATTGTAAATATGGGGTGGATGTATACTAATGAAATTATGCTAGATTGTGCCCTGTTTTTCTAGAACCGTGACTCTTATTGGTGTGATAGTTTGTGTCTTGAAGACATCTCTGTTGGTCATAAAAATTGGTGGGAAAGCACCAATGTGAATCTATTTTAAGATAGAAAATACCTTGTGTTAATGCCTATTCAGGTTGGGAAGTTATCAGTCATTCTTTGAAGTATTGCAAAACTTTCAAATAAATTTACAGGAACCTTGCATGTTTTTAATTGGAGCTGTTCACTGGCCAATATGTCCCTGATTGAGGCCAAACCACTTTTAAATGAAAGATGAGCGAGTTTATTTTCAAAATAGCTTTTGAACTATAACCAAATTCTGTGTGGATTGGAAGTTATGCCCAATTTTCTAAGAGACTTTCACACTGAAATTCCTGTTCTTTTCCAGGATTGTTATATGCTTTTATGTGGAACTGTTCACTAACTATTATGTCCCTGATTGAGGCCAAACCACTTTTAAATGAAAGATGAGTGAGTCTATTTTCAAAATGGTTTTGGAACCATAACCAAATTCTCTATGGATTAGAAGTCATGCCCAATTTTCTAAGAGACAGTCACATTGGAATTCCTGCTATTTTCCAGGACTGTTATATGTTTTTATGTGGAACTATTCACTAACCAATATGTCGCTGATTGGGGCCAAACCACTTTTAAATGAAAGATGCGTGAGCCTATTTTCAAAATGGTTTTGGAACTATAGCAAATTATTTGTGGATTGGAAGTTATGGCCAATTTTCTAAGGGGCTATCATACTGAAGTTTCTGCTCTCTTGTGAATTATTGTAATAAGACATGCTTATGAATTATTGACTATGCATGGTTGAAATATGACATGTCCAGGGAATAGTGAATGCTTATGAAATGGTGAATGCTTATGAAATGGTGAATGTTTATGAAATAGTGAATGCTTATGAGAAAATGAATGTGCATGGTTCTAATAAGACATGCCTATGTGATAGTGAATGTGCATGGTTGCAATCAGACATGCCTCAGATGTGATATGAAGCACTATGCAATGGGTCATCCATCGGTAGTACGATGTTGTATGATAAGAATGTGGAATAAGGCACTACGCAACGGGTCATCCGTTGGTAGTATAATATAATGTAATATGATAAAAAAGTTGTGCCGGCAGTTGAGATCTTTCCCTGACTCCTCATGATAGGACGGGAGTTAGGATGTGAATGTGAATATTTGGGTGGGTTGCACCCTCCAAATCTATATGGGCACTATGCATTGGGTCACCCAGTGGTAGTGTAACGCTCTCCCGTTAAAAGGGCATAAGGAGAGGGTCGTGTCTTGCAAGGCCTCTGCCTATCAAAAGCCCCAAAGTGCGTTGGGGACTGTGTGTGTGTGTGTGTGTGAAGATATTACGAAATGGGTCATCCATTTGTCATTGTCTTCCCTCCTGAAAAATGATAGAAGTCTTAAGCAATGGGATTGGCTTGTCCTGATTGATTGGGCTACTACTTTGGGAGTATGCAACATTAGGATTGCATATAGTTAATATATGTTTGTCTGAATTTATTGATCTGTTATTTTAATGGAAAAGATTTGATAGACTGTTAGCTCATGGGATATCTGATATATGATTTCTGCTTACTTCACCATGAAAGAAATCACTTACGACATACTGCTAATGAAATTGATATACATGATTCCATGTTGAAACCTGCATGAATCTTGGGGACAGTTGTAAATAATAGTGTATAGGCAAGAATGCATGGTGTTTTGCTGGGCTTCATAGCTCATTCCTTTGACTTTCTTAAGTGTAGAGTGATAGCTTGCGAGTCGAGAACGGACGGTCGG